TGAGCCGATGCTGGCTCCGAATTTCACCGTCTCTCGCCGGGACGTACTTGATTTCGCTCATCCGGAAAACCTTAGCGAAGCATCAGGTGCTTGCAGGTGCAAGGTTAAATTGAATAGGCGCTCGTGAATATCAACGTCATCGCGTTACACGAGCAGAGGGAGTTTAAGCCTCCTTCTTCCGGCACATGCCGAAGTAAGCACGGCGTCGCGACGCGCGAATAAGAACGCGAACGTTTCCCTTCCTTTTTTCGTCATCTCGCGGCGTTTTGCATCACGGCATTACGTGCATCGGTCCTCCTTTTTACCAACGTTCTTGCCGAACGGAAACCACCGTGAAAGCGCCCAACTATCGCTGTGAAATAATGGGAAAAAGTCTCGCAGAATGTTTTGGGTAAACGTAATCGCTCGAATTAATGTGAATTTTAGGTACTTTTGGTATTTCGGGTATTTCGGCTATTTTGGTGCTTCGAATACTGTGGGTATTTCGGGTATCTTCGGTATTTCTGGTATTTCTGGGGTATTTTTGTGTGTTCGAAATATTTTTAGTACTTCGACATTTAGGGTGTATCAGGTGTTCTAAGTATTTTATGTAGAGGTTATTTGTTTCTGTTTTTGTATTTTATTTTTTGGAATATTTTTAGCGATATTTTTGATAATTCGGATTATTTAAAATGTGACGAATTTTTAATTTTCTATGGGGACGGATTTGATATTTGGAATAGGTTTTGAATTGATTTTAGAAGAGTAATTTAATATGAAGGAAATTATCGTTATTTCTGAGTTACATGCTTGCCTGTTTTTAGACTGGAATGCTTTGTTTATGGGAAATACGCGAGATCTCTTGGCGGATACGATGTTATTACACCCGTGTAGAATTTTCTCGAGATCGAAATAGATTTCGGATTAAGATAGAGACTGTAACTAGTTCGCAGGAAAATAAAAGTTTAATTGTAAGGGATCACTTATATTTTTAGATTACACGTGTATCTGATAGTTACAACTAACGATGTAATATTTTATGTTAATTTAAAAAAGTGAAAAGAAACGCGAAAAATACAGGAATACACTGGCTATTGTTTGCTAATTCAATATCAAATGGTATCTCTCCTTTGATCTTTTACTTGAAACGTCTTCAATGTTGCATTAAAATATTCGATATTCGGTAATTAATATACATACATTCTATCTCGATTTCTTAAAAAAGCGTAAAAAAGTAATTAACACGCATATTTTTCATTTTAATTTTTCGCCGAAAAATGTTAGCCTTTATCAGAATTCACGGGTCGTTTAAAAGACCCGCGAAAGCGACAGTGTGAAAAAGACTGGAAAGAGAGGTTAGATAGAGGGGGTTAGACGCAGCACAAATCATGGCGCTTCGCGTCTACAATCGTTAATTCATCGTCAAAGTATCACGGGGACCAGGCGCAGCGGTATGTATTAAGAGCAGTGAAAGCGGCTGGTTGTATTGTTCCCGTCGCGTTTCCCTTATCCACCTGTTCGCAGCATTGTTTTCGACGCATCCCGCGGCTTTATTCCTGTGGGAAATCGCGTTGGCGCCCGCTTCTTCTACGGAGACAATACGTGAGAAGATGTAGATCGATGTGTTTGCTGCACCGGGATCGATCCGACGCCGTTCCCACGGGACAGTCTGTGTATATGCGCGTTTCCGCTCGAGAAACTAACTTGCGTCGAATTCCGTCGACCACTGGTATTATACCTCGTGTCCGATTATTTTCTGCTTTTCTTAACGCTCTCGTTCCTCGCATTAACTCGAATAAAACGCTAATCGCTTCTATCGAAACGATACGTAAATAAGTAGCTGTTAATTCTGACTGAAAGCATCGTTCTGTTTGTAAGTACTATTTCGCATGCAATATATATATATTTAGAACCATTACATTTTTCGCGCCATTATAAACAAGGGAACTAGGCTACTTGCGCGCCATCTGAAACTAACGATAAGTGTCATGGCGTGGCGTGATGATCATGCGTCGGCGTCTCATTTACAAAACGAGAATTCGGGAGATATTAATGAACGGTCAGGGTCGAGTTGGGAAAAAGTGATATTCGCGTGCCATATTTCGATAAATACGAAGAAATCGCGGTGGTACGATGTGTCTTGTGTCGAAGTGTCGGATTGTAATCTACCGACAAACACGTTGTATTCGCTCGTATCGTTCAATCGTTACGAAACGAATTCGGGTTTATTCGGAAAAGTGTCGTCGCGATCGTGTTTGTTCGTCATAAATCGGATTACCGGGCAGTGAATCCTTTGTCGCAAAAGAAAGTCCGTCGGAAGCGTAGCAGGACAGCCTTTCTCATCTGGCATGCCGCCAAATCAGTACATAATTTACTGTCTCCGTTTTGCTTACTTCCGCGGCGACCACAATGCGTTCTCAGGCTGCACGGGAAACTGGGTCAAGAATAGGTTGAAGGGAAAATACGAGTCTGAACAACTCTCGGATGTTTAACCGTTTGAATTGCTCGATAAATATTCAGGTAATTCTGGCTTTAATTACACAGAGGAATTTAGAGGATTGATGTTTTAAATATACGATTCGAGGTTATGGTTAAATCAATATTTATATTCCCACTGATTTTTACGTCTCGATAATCTAAACCTTCGAGGTTATATTTCTCCGGTGAGACGATTACGAAATATTAATAACCTCTAATTCTGAATTTATATTTTAAAATACGTTGGAGAAATTTATACGTCGTAGGAATAGTTATACGTTTATTCAAAGATTCTCTTTCGCAAATTATGAATATTGTTCTACGTTGAACGCGAATAATCGATCATACTGTTTTCTCCGGAAACATAAATACGTTCTCTCGTCACCGGCTATCGTAAATCTCGTTTTTCACTGCTGTAATGTAACAGCCTGCGTCTGCAACATAGTAATTACTGGATGTTGGTCGCGTGTTATTAGAATCAATATTTTTCCCTGTCAGTCTGCAATGCGATCGGAAAGCCTCTTGTTATACAGAGGGAGCGCGCAGTCGTGTTATTCGTATATATGACACGGGTAAATTCGTAACTTTTAATCATCGATTTACCAAATTTCTTTTATTTTTCAAGATTATTTTCTTTTTTTAAAGATAAAGACAAATTCTTGTCTCGACATTGAAAGAATATCGGAATGTTTTTAATTTTCCGGGCATGTATATTTTCCAACTTGAAACGAGCGGAATAAAACGGAATAGGTTAGAATCGAATCGAATCGAATCGAATCGAATCGAATCGACGACTCGCGGCGATGCAGCGGTGTAGGTATGAACAGTGCCCCCCTTACCTTCCACTTTAAGCTTCCCCCGCCTTTTTAAAGGCGTGGAACTGTATCTGCTACCGAAATATAGTCGGGAAGGAACAAAAACAAGCGGCAGTACGAAAATGTCCGTCACTCAGTCGAAAATAACTCTGGAGTGCGACCTCACCATCTATCACCTTACCATAGTCACTTAAAGCTTCATCGTATACACATTACACGGACTAATCACGCCGGCTTAATTTAACCCGTAATCTCATTATAAACCGCGCGATTAGAATATTGTAATTAATACGCGTTTTAAAAAAATTTCTATTGTTTTTATTTCTTTAACCGTAATTCTTTATTTAGGAAATAAAGTTGCCGGTATTGCTGCCGATTTTTCATTGTAATTTAGGTTACATCGAAATACGATTTTTTATATTTTTTGTGTTTTAAGGAAATTATTATTATAAGTCACCATTGGTTAAAAAGGGTATTATAATTTTAAAGAGACACCAAGTTATCGACGCACCCGTTCTAAAATTTTTAGTACACACGGTAAATGCAGAAACGAAAATAATATTTTCCTAAAATAATCTTTCTTACAAATAATATTAAATATTCTTCTAATCGCTTTATATCCCAAGATTCGATCTATCCTTGATGTTTCCACTCTTCAACGAGTCTAAAATTCTAAAACCTGTAGGAATATTAATTTATTATATTTACAAACTCGATGAGACGTTTCTGAAACACACACTTGTCGAGATCGGTCACAGAGAGAAGGAAAACCACACATCTACTCAAAACAGAGTTGAACGAGGACGTAATGACGTAGTAGGGCAAACCGATGCACAGGTCGCGGCGACAAACCATAACAATTAGGCTAAGGCTACGGGTTCGATTTCCACGGCCGTGTAAACAAACGACCGGCATCGTGCCGAAACGTGTTCGAACTCGCAGTATTGTATCGGTCCTCGAAGAGGAAACACAAAACGAAGAACCTTGCAGTGAGTATCCTAGTAGACCTAGTAGTATCCACCATCTTTGCATTACACAATCAGATTCCAAAATATCTCGCGATGCGAATCATAAGGTGCTACGTTATGTGGTAAGGGGTGTTAATAATATTCATCAGGAACTCCTATTCTTAGTTATATTTTAAATTTCTCGATGGTGTAAAATTAATGGGGGCTCGAGATATTTTTGTGATGCGTGCAGCACGGTGGACTGAGGAAAGGTGTTACCCTTTGAACCCATCAGTAAGGTTCCCATACCTCTCTATCACTCCAGCCTATTTCGTCATTCATCCTAATCTCGAGGAACCATTTAATTTATCAATTTCCTCGGAAAATAAATTTAACAAAATAGATGCCATCAAAAATAGATTCTTCCTACACTTAACATCCGTAAATACGAATGTGATCATCGATACGTTCCCCAAAAACGGGGATAATATCACCGCGAGGAACCGAATTGGTTGAAACGGGGGGAGACAAAATCGGTGGTTAAATTAGGAAAGGAAGACGGAGAAAAGGTATTACCGTCCGCTATTAATTCGACAATTAGCCATCGCGAGGGCAATGAAACAAGAGAATAGGCTAATTCCCGGTTATCTTCGTTCATCCTTCACCCCGTCTCGAATCCTTCTTCCGTTCCGCTTCGTCCTCTGTCTTTTCAGCTCGCTCTGGCTTTGGCCGATCAGCTTAATTAACTCGATTATCGTTTTCTTTCTTTCTCCTGTTGCAGGTGCGCACCTTGTTCGTGAGCGGCCTGCCGATGGACGCCAAGCCGAGGGAGCTCTATCTGCTCTTCAGAGCATACGAGGTGAGTCTTTATCTATCTCCTACTTCGTTGCAACTGTTGCGAGCTTGTGCATGAGCTTCGTGGAAAGAGTCTTACCGCCAGCGGAACAGATGCACGTTAATATTAGAGGTATCGAGGGTCGAGATGAGTGGCTTTTGAGTTTTCGCAGTTGCAAGCAGGCAGCTGCTTTGGGTAAAATTAATTTTCCATTTCATTCGGGTAAATTATATTCTAAAGTAGTGCTTGTTAGCCCTTTGCACTCGAAGAATTTTTTAGCTGTAGAGATATGAAAATTCGAAGCTTTTCTTATATTTTTCTAAGCTCGGTGATACAATTTATAAAAGAAAGAAATTATTTGTGTGTATTTCATTTTAATATTTCTAATCTAGTTATTGCCTAATTAATTAGGTATTAATTAAGGTATTAAAACAAACGGTGGCTGAGTCACTGCTCGAGTGCAAAGGGTAAATATTAGAACCCTTAGAATCCTGATATTAACGTTATTCGACGAATAATTGCATTTTTTATTGTTGATAATTTTATTATTGAATTATGCATTTCGTGATATAGTAAAATATCTGTCATCGGTGGTGGAAACAAATTTTATTTATTTATTGCAAGTAAAGATTAAATCGTGTCAAAATTTAACGTCGCAGGAATATTTGGGCACTTAGTAAATTAAGTGAAAATGTTTCCAGTGTAGATTTTAAGCTTAATTCCAGCAAATATTTCTCACCATCGATATTATTCTTACCTAATGTAAGAATAATATTCCTAATTATTGAAAATAATTATTAAAAACTCTTCGAATTGTTCGTGTATTATTTATTCATTTCAAGACCATTTTAAGTCAATTCTTCATAGGAAACTAGTTCGTATAATTTTTCAAACTTTGACACACGGTTGGAGCAACGACGTTGACCGCGGTTTTTAACGAGAAATCGAAGTAGATATCGTGGGTGGAGAATCCTTACGAATCGCAAAAGAGACCAGATAAGGGTCGAACAGGGGAATACATTTCACGTAACTTTCCCTCTTCCAATCGCGAGTTTTCAGGTAAACGGATTATTCAGCATTCGATTACGCGATTTCATCATTTTCTTCGCCTAACACCCTCGAAACTTACATCTCCAGGGAGAGACAGGGGATTCGACCTACTCAAACTGCATCGAAATTTTCGCACGTGTCGGTTAATCGACTTTGAATTGTTAATTAAACATGCAGAAGGTTTTATTTCGCTCTCTGTTATATTATACGTTCAATAATTCCACCTATCAACAATTTTTCTTCGTCTCTTCTCTGTATCAAATTTCTACGCTGTTCAAATTTCCTTCAAGTACCCAAACTTGAATTATTTTCACTTCTTCGAATATAAATCGAGGTTCATATTCCATTTTATATTTAATTTCAAATAAATTACAATTTTCTTGATATTATTATATTTATTATCGTTGTTCGTGGTGATTTCAATTTCGTATTTCTATTTTCTTCAAAATTCCGATTTTCTTGATATTATTATATTTATTATCGTTGTTCGTGGTGATTTGAATTTCGTATTTTTATTTTCTGCTATTTTCTCTTGCGCGATAATTGAGTTACTATTATTAAGCACTGACTTCTTAACGAAACGCGATTTTTCTGTTTACTGGTCGCTAGTGCATTCATAGTAAGTCTAATCTAAAACTCGATGTTTACCCGAGACTCGAGAGAGCGGGCTCAGCGTGAAAATCCTGTTACGTGTTAGCTCAGCTGAGGAGCATTGAATGATACTTGGCGAAACCGCATCATCGTTAATATAAATCAACCTTAACCCATTTGAGCGGGGCATAGAGCGACATTGTGCTATTGTGCGCTGAATTTAAGAGCACTTGACAAATGGAAACAAGCTTTTAATCGAAACGTGTCACGCGGTTATGTTAAAAAATATTGACCGATTCTCGTCTACGTCGACGGCAGGGCAATTCAGCTTTATTTACCGTCAGAGATTAACTCGTCGAGGTTCGTGGTATTTCTTTGAACCGATTCCAAAATTGTTGTCTTCTGCGATATATTATACTTTGGATAGTCGAATATTTTTGCGAAAGATTCTGTTTGCCGAATATTCTTCGTTCTTAACTTCGCTTCAAACATTACAACTCGGGACTAAGAGCTGTGAAGTCAGACATATCCTCGATATCAATTTTTCAATTACCTGTCCTTCCTATAAACGTTTCCAAAATTTTCGTTTCACCTTGTTTTAACATAAAATAAAATATTTTCCATGTATTAAAACGCGAATTATTTCGTATATTAGGCTTCTTCAATTTTTCTTCATTTTTTTTTTATTTCTGTAAACTTAGACGTACTAAAAACGTGAGTTATCAAAGAAATTTTCTCTACAGCTAATTACCGAACGAAAAGCATAGTTATTCTCGGAGAATGTAAATGGAAGTTACATCTTTCTTCTGTAATTTTTTAACAATCAAAATCTTACAAAATAACGAGGTTATTCATCCATAGTTAGTCGTCGCGATTGGCAAGAGCACGTCTGATCTAAACGATTTTTAAGTGGTGCAGCCTTTAAATAGCGCATCCCTTAAGTGGTCCACCCTGTTTATATAAATTCCGTCGTTTAACCAACGTCGTTAATCGAATATTTTAACACCAGAAGCGATCCTCGCGCGAGTATTTTTTACACCGTGAACCACTGCGAGTTCTGGGTAATTCTCCCTGCTGGAAGTGAACTGGAGGCCAGAGAGGACGCGATGGATCGAACTTGCAGGAGAAATCTTGAAATAGAGCCGTTCCATCGCCGATTCTCTCCTTTTTATCGTTCGAATTGTCACGGCTACCGGGATATTCTCGTCTGCGGCTGACACGCCGTTATCCTCCTCTCCTGATGACAAACTCTGCCTCTTCCTGACAGAGGACACGTTTCCATTGTCTCCCTTGACTGTTATCGCGGCTTCTCCCGTCCATCGAATTAGTCTGGCCTAATTCTCCGGGAATTTATTAATACCCGATTAGCATCGGATACGTCGGCGGATTAGCCATGGAAATTAGAAATCGAACGCGATGATCGATAATTGCGACGATGGTATTCCAATTGTTCCGGAGAATATTTCGGTATATCGGCTGGGAATTAAATATCGCGATTAGGGCTGCCTCTATATTTGGCCTTTTAATGTAACTATAACATGGTCGCATTAGCAGGACTGGATTAACGTATTACCGGATTCGTTGGAGTTTCCGGTATTTTCGGAGGGTATTTCGGTTACTGTGATTTGTGGTTGATTCGTATACTACGTTTCGGCTGATGGAGGTAACATCGGGATTTGGTCGTCGGTGTCTAGTTTATTCGAATACTCGATATTTTCGTAGATTAGGAAGAGTTTCGATTAATCCTTTGTTAGTGGTGGATGAAATATCAATGACAGTAAGAACAATTCTTTATTTAACACTAGAACCAACCCAGTCAAAATGACTGGTCCCAGAATTTTCCTTTTTGCAATTACCGAACACATACACCTGATTTAAGAATAAAATTGGTATCAACTCGTATTAAGAAAGAACTGTAATCGATATATTCACTCATATTCATCGTACCACTGAAATTACTATAATCTGTGCACGTTATAGTTAGGTAACCATTACAGATCGGTAGTTCTAGTGTTAATTACAAAAAGTAATCAAACACAAATATTCAGGATAAATCTAATTAATTTCTCGCAATCACATCCTCACACCTATTTCCACTATTACAACTTAATAACAACTGACCTATGCCCAATCCCTCTGGTTTGTTCTTTCTACTTGCGTACATTATATGAACATATACAATTCACGCTACACCTCATTCATTATACACATACTCGTGTACATACACTCATCCCTTTCTTACAGACATCGCTCCTTTATTATATCAACATATATATATTCAAAATCCATTCAATTATATTCTAAAGATCGATGTTAATTAATATATCAAATTTACAATTACCCAATGATACGTGGAATATCGAAATAAAATAATTCTGCGTATTAATTTGTATACGACATCTTATCTGCCGTTTCAAAAATATCGTCGACTTTATGGTAGAAAGTCTTCGAATTACTATTTTTCTGTAACGAAAAAATTGCCGAGTGCAAAGGGTAACATCGAAATGTTAAATTATAACCCTCCCAGGATTAAATTATTTTGCAAAATTTTTTCGATAACGTATCCCGATGGATATTGCGGAAATGTTAATTTCAGAACCACATTCTCTTATGATAATTCGAATGCGCACTGTTCTTTTCCTTTTTTCCTTTCTCTTGCAGTGAAATTGGAATTTGAAATTGGGTTAATACCGCGGGATTTGTGAAAATATTGGGTTATAAGTACAATAAATATAATTATCGCGATTAAAACGGAGAGAATAGAAGGTAATTATCGAACAGTGGGATGAGAGAATTATTTTCTCGAATGTTATTCCTGTTAAGTAACATTCTTAAAGGTATTGTGGTATCTACCCGAATTAACGAATTAAAGTGAAAATTACGCGATATTTTTACGCGACAAAGAAACGCGGAAATAAAGAACAACGAATGGAAAAATCGCACGATATCTGATCGCATCCGCGTTCGTACGTCGTTTGATTAAATTAACTAATTAAATCGCCGGTATGTTGACCGAACGCGAATTAATTAACTCGATCGTGGATCGGCAATGATGAAAACGGAAAACGAGCTACGTTTATCCAGCTCATCGAGATCGCTGTAACAACGATCACGAGCAGACTAACATCCTTCATTGTACCAAATAAAATACCAACGAATGATTTTACACTGTAGGACAAAGAATGTCTGGTATATTTAATTTTCGAGTAACCTGTACACAATTTTGAGTATTCGTTCCATATGTGTGAATGCGAATGAGGTTGAATAAGTGAAACATATTTGCGATGATATAAATATATGTACGAATGCAGTCTAGTATGAATGATGTTTGAGAAAATGTTTAGGAGAATGTGCCAGAATAAACAGTTATGTGAGAATCCTCA